CATAGTGTCTGTGAAATCATCATTTTCTTTTCATTTTCATGCCACTGCTGCTTTTTTTTTTCTTATTTCTTTTTTCCGTTTTGGTCTTACTACATTGGTTCAAACTCAGATTTATAGAATGAATGCCTGAAGTGACATGACCTCACTGCAGCCAAATTAGAAAATTTCAGCTAATCCCACATTTCTATAGTTTGGTCATATTATGATTACTAATGAAAAGAACACCTATTAACCACTCTTCAGGGGCTTCAAGCTCATCTCCTCTCTCACATGCACATGCATCCTTAATTTCCCCCATGTCCAATGGATTTCCTTCCCCCATAACCAAACAAGCATCCATCTCTGAGCCGGGGTCCACACAGAGGAGAGTTAGCAGGCTAATGCTGTGGAATGCACTGACCTGGCCAGCGGTGTAGACCCATGGGAAGAGCGTGTCAGCATCCTGCCCATAGCCCCTTGGCCCTTACCATTTTAGTCAAAATGGCATCACTTTCATCTGCTACACCTGTATCTCTGTCAGAGGGCTGTTTCTGACTGCCCACAGGCTTAGCAGACCAAACTAAGAACTCCGCCCCCCACCACAAGGAACAGGATTCAAGTAATGACTGGTGCTTGCCCCCACTCCTCTGTCCCTCGGTAACATGGCTCTGGGGCATGCATTCTACACCATTTCCCAGTGTTTCTTAGTATGATTAGGTTCCAGGTCCCCATGGTGGCAACTTGCCTGCCTGTCTTATTCCTCTACTCTCCTACCGCTGTTTCCTGGGACCACCTCCCAATATACTGCTTACACTGGAATCGTTGACTCAGGTCCTGCTTCTGGTGGGATCCAAACTAAGACACCCAATGCTACCTACGTCCCTTGTATTTTACCCACTGATGGAGATGTTCATGTGTTGGTTTTTTTGATTATAGAGATAGTTCTCTGCATTTGAGGTGACCAATCCTGGTCCTGTTTGCCTAGGACTGTGGGGATTACCAGGACTTGGCACGCTCCCTGTTAAAACCAAGGAAGTCCTGGGCACCCTGGGATGAGATGGTCGCCCTATCAGCATGTTGCCTGCCTACACTGGTGAATGTTTGCAGCCATTTCGTCCTTATAGACAGGAGGCAGACAGCTGGAGGTTGCTCTAAATCAACCAAGGATGGAAGCGTATCATTAGCATGTGGGTTAATTAACTAGAAAAGAAGCAGAATTCTTCACCCACGATGCACAATAGGCACGCTGAGGCAGGAGAATAAAGGGCCCGAGAGCCGGAGTGGGCCGTAAGACTAGCCCTCACTGCTTTGAGATACAGACAAGTGGTTATCATTTAACAGTTATTAATATTTCCTAGATGTGCCTAGCACAAGGATCTCACATTTTCCAAAAGTGTTGCAACACTTCATGGGACGTGAAGAAAATTAAGGTATTCATTAAACCAAGTGTCACTAAGCATAATGTTCAAGTCTTAGACACATCAAGGCATGTGAAGGTCTCTTGTGGCATTAACTAGCTGATTTTCTTACTAAGTTCCAAAATGGGCTCTCAAGCACATCTTTTCTAATGATACATTGAGACTCTGTAACCAGGAACATCAGTCCAACTCTAGCTGTTAGGTTATACCTGAAATGTCCCAATGTTTCCATAAGGATACTTGGGTTGTAATGATGTATGGAATCATTGTGTAAACCATAAAGCATCATGTAAGATGATTAACCCATAACTCATCCATCACATACCATTGTAACAATTAAAACTATAAAATTTTACATTATTGTGCTGGAATCGTTTTAATTTGGACTGTGAGCAGGGATTTTCTTCTTCTTTCTTATCATTTGGTTCCAGCCCTAGAAACCTGAGTGGCACAGATCAGATAATCAACAAATGTTTGCCTCGTGAATACATGGCCAAATAGGTGAGTTAATGCCACCTGCTAAGCCCAGGTCTGTGTGTCAGGGGCTAGTGGTTCTCTGACTTGACACCCACAGTAGGAAGGCTTCCTCCACTCTAGGCTTAAAGGAAAGGGTACATACAATCCACTCCACTATAAACACCTTAAACTAGTCCTTCCTTCTTTCGAAGGTCAAGTCTATGTTAAATAACTTTTAGAATGTGTGTCTTAGTGAATACTTTTTTTCTTCCTGAGAATATGCTTCCTTTTTTTCTTTTTTTGATAATGAAAAATTATGCAGTTTTTCATGTTTCCCTTCTTTGCTTTAGAGTCAAGGAAGCCCAGAAATAAAGTTGATATATATTTCTGTTCAAATTGAACTTCCTTTTTTAAATTCCTTTGAATCTTAATTTTTTTTAAAAAATGACTTTTCCTTTAAGATATTCCATATGTTTCTGGAAGTCACAATATAAATACACATGGATTTGGTGCCACAAATTTTATGAATTTAAAAGCAGGTGCCTAGTTTATCAAGGCATTGTTCTAGACCTATGATGGTATCATTTTTACTTTACCCAGCAAAATTTTGAAAGTCATCATATGGTGGCTACAAAACCTAATAACTTCACTTTAAGGATCATGAAAGCCAAACTTACATGTTCCAACCAAATCAAAAAACAGTAGTGGGGACTCACTTAGACAATGGGAAAATTGTTTGGAATATGTTCTTCAGGTATAGACAATACCTGTATTGTGCGGGTAAGAGGCTTAGCTCTTTCTACCATCTAATACTTTGAATTGGGTTTTCTCTACAGGTTGAGGGGCTGACACTCCAAACTCCATGTGGCCAATAGAGCAGCCAGGTCTACAGTCTGGTACCCTCTGTGTTTGCAGCCAGTATTTGGGTCTTTTAGATAATAATTTGATGGTGGAGCAAGTGATTAAGAACATAGAGGTTGGCTTTGGAAAAAATCCAGGCTCTGCTACTTACAGAGTTTCCTTGGGCAAGTCACTTAAGTGGATCACAGCACAAGCCCTCAATGAATGGTTGTTGTTGACCTCCTTGCAGTCTTTTCTAGGCTATTCTACACATCTAATGTCTGAGATTAGTTTCTCCCAGAAAGTTTCCTGGTCTCTCCATACTGGATTAGCTGTCCCTACCATGTGCTACCAAATCTTTTATACTTCTCACACAGAGTTAGTTGTGTTTTCTTGCCTAATCACCTCTCTCCACCACTAGGCTAGAATCTTTGGAAAGGCAGGGACTGTGCCTATTTCATTCACCATTGTATCTCCAATAGGTGGCACAAGACCTAGCACAGAGTAGGTCCCTAATAAATTTGATGAATAAATTAATGAACAGATGGGTGAATGAGTGAATGAAGGACCTTGGAAGTCTTTATTTTCCAGACGTGCTTAAATTTGGGCTATAGGAGGGTAATTACCAGCAGGCTCCTAACCTGTGAGAATTTCAACATTTTAAACTTCTACCCAATGACACTTGAGCTCACTATCAACTGAGTCAACACAACTTATATGCAAGAAATGGGATCCATTTGAGCCCTGCAATGACCTTGGCCTTTTTCTTAAGTGTTGGCCTCTCCAAGGCCAAGCCCCTAATAAACCAAACTTGCTCCAATAAAAGTAGGACTAGCCCCCCGGTGATTATTGCAACTATACCATCTCCAGGGTTGGAAACTTGTCTATATCTACCCTTCCAATAAGACCTTCATAGTCCAGGAAGAAAGAAGAGCTACCTACACAGTTCTCAGAAATATCAACCCGAGGTGCACATCTGCCAGGTGACATCAATCAGGGCTCGGACAGCCGAGGGCTGGCCGCTAGTTTGTGGGGACAGGCTTTCCTGTCCTGATCCTTGGGGTTCCTCTTCTTGACTAGAGTCCATGGCCACCAACTTGGTCATGCAGCCAAGTTCTCCAACCTACCTCAATTCTGGGGATGCAACCGCTGGAGGTCTCACTCGCCAGCGCTTCTCAGAGGAGGCCTGACCCACTGGGCCTGACTCTGAGCTCCAGCCACAGCCACAGCCCACCTGCAAGCAGATGACCCAAAGGTGTGTATGGTACCAATACGTGTCTGCCCAACCCTGTCTTCCCCAGCTGCTGGAGGTTAGGGGACAGGGAAGTTCTCACACATTGACTCAGATACAATTTTCCAACAGGTTTATGATTGATGAGAAACAGAATCAACAGGATCAGGGGATACTGTGGGAGCTCTCACCAGTACCCTTATTCAGATCAAAAGTTCCTTTTTATTAACTCCTCCAAGAGGAAGTCACCTCTCTGGCCCTCCTGGGTGACTGACTCTTGTCTGAACTGAGTTAATTCTCTGTGGCCCCTGGATCAATATACCTACCTCATTACATTACACTTATTTTATTATGTGTGCTATATATTTTAAATTTTAGTTATAATTTTAATAATTTAATAATAAAATTGTATACATCTTAATTTGTCTCCCATTAGACTATGGGCTTCTTGGGTTCAGGGAATATGTCTGATTCACCCCTGTCCTTCCATTGGCTAGCACAATGCCTGACAGACACAAGCAAGCAATAAATGTGGGCTGAACTGATTTTATAGGAAAAAACAAGACTATAATTTTTCACGGGTTATTTTTTCATTGTTAAAGCCTAAAGAAATGTATAATATCAGAAGTAAGTAAGAGTGTCTAATTGTTATACAGTTTTAACAGGACAGTAAGAGTGTCTAATTGTTACGTTTCAAATCAGGTTCCTGCAGGCCCCCGCAAAAAAATACCTTAGTAAAGTTATTTTATAATTAAAAGAAAACTTTTATATTTCCTCATATAATGTTATGCTGTTGAGGAAGGTACCTCAAAAACCCACAACACCTTTGATAAGATTCCAGTAGATAACCTTTTGTTATTCTAATCCCTACCCCTTTCATCTTCAATTAAAAAAAAAAAAACAGAGGTGAAAAGTTAAAGTAGGATAATATTGCTGTGTACGCAGTTTATTTTTTTTCCCCTTCCCAGTGTTTGCTCTTCTCAATGTGCACAATTGGTAATTAAATATATTTCTGCTGGTCTTGTGGCCATATGCCTACAATATGTAAAAATACATTTGTGCTTTTTCCCCTTCATTCCTTTTGTTCCCAGTGCTGACTGCTGTCAGAGCGCGCCGTCCAGATTCCCGTGTGCTGGTATCCATGGGCCGCGACTTGCCAAGCTGCCAGTCTGAAGCGTCACACCTTACTGCCTTTAAAGATTGCCCTGCAGAGATGGAGGGAAATGGCAATTTTTACATGATGCAGTCTGGCGACCCAGGAGATTTGAAGTCAGAACTGGTGCCAAGATTTACCCAGGAGAGCAAGCAGAGGCAAAAACAGAGAACGTGGGCCAAAAGGAAAAAAAAAAAAAAAAAGAAGAAGAAGAGAGAAGAGGAAGGCTGGGGGAGGGGAAAGCCACAGTCAACTCTCTCTGGGGGTTCTCTCAAAAGGCCGGAACTTAAGGCCACTGAGTGGGTGATGGCCGTGTTATTAGGAGTATGTGGGTCCTAAAGAAAGTCAAAGGGAAGAGGTTGGCTTTTTTTGCATGCCCTAAATTGTAGTAGATTGCAGAATGTAAATGAGACAATTATTACACCAACGCTCATCAAGCTGGGCTGGAAAGACTTCAATAGCCTGATGAATATGCATGCAAATTTGTTAATTAAGTTAATTATTCTGCTGAAAATTCATTTGTCTTCCAAGGACATTTTCCCAATGATTTTAACATGCTAGCGCCATTAGTCATGCTCCATGCTATTTAACATTACTTTTTGTCCACTTTCTTTTCCCCCAACCTTTTTTGTTGTTGTTGTTAATATCTTAAACTTTTAAAAACAGTTGATTGGTTCTTTCAATCGACCCCTGCAACGTTGGAAGATGCCTAGAGCCAGCTCAGTAGGTATTCTCAGAAGCACGTTTCAATTAAATATTTCCTCCATATATAAAATGTCTGCAAAATGTCACATTGGTGGGGAGGAGAAGGGCTCTATCTGGGATCATTAAAGCAAGGATCTGAATTGTTCTCCATAGTGACTGTAAAAGGTATGCTGTCCCTGCTGTGGGCGATTTCCCGAGCTCCCGGTGTCATTTGATGCATGGATTTACCTTGCTGTGTGGGAAGTGAGGTGACTCCTGCCTCCTCTGGCCTCCAGCTGCAAGGCAAGAGAGACCCAGCAAACACGTGTGTTCAAACAGAAACCAGTACTGTGATACTTTTCTGTCACCCATGAGGGCCCAAATCTGTTACCATGGCAACAAAGGGGCATAGTGTGTTTAAAATTACATCTAAATGGCAAATTGAGATATTTGAAAGAAATAGTCGAGTTTAATTTTGTTAGCCCACGCTAGCCAAAAAAAAAAAAAATGTAGTATAGTATTTTTTCAACCTGCATGTTATTTTGTTAGGTAAAGCAGGTTTATTTCATCGAGGTCTTCATGGTAAACCCAAAATTAGAATCTTTGTGGGTCTCGGTGAGCTGTACTCCACCAGATTCTTGTGCTTTAAGGCACACATGAAGCACCCCCAAATCTCCCTAAAAATCTGTGTACATCGATGATAGCTTCCCATTTCAACTCAAAAGTCTGAACATGCCTTCTGATAAATGCAAGTGTTCTTTGTAGGACAGTGAAATAGAATGTTCAAAATCAAGTCTATTCCAGAAAATCAGAGGTACGTGGTTGTCTGCATACATTAGGCAATCATATTAAAAGATGAAAGATGAATCTATGCATCACTCCAGGGGACTGCCATATGCATGCTTAGAGGCCTCTCTTAAGGTCATTTATTTTCTTTAGGAAGAAGGTAAATTCAGATTCTCACCCCTGAGTCATCTTAAAAGAGACTTTCCAATATGGTTTCAGGTTACAATCTGTATCTTCAGTTAGGGTTGATCAGACTCGTTTGGAGCTAGGCTAAGAAAGGAGATTAAATAAAGACAAGATTTAATGAAAGAGTTAAAGAAAAATTAGTTGGCGTGCTATCTCTTTCGAGCCATTTGTATATATTTTTTTACAGTATGAATGGCACTGTGTGTCACATAGATTGTAAACCAATTAAATGATATTTTAAACCCTATAATTTCTATAATTCCATCTGTTTTAGAAGATTTAATTAGCGAAGTTACAAAAGCCAAATATATTTGAATATTTTGAAAGCAGGCTGAACAGCAAAAAACTGAAAAGTTCCCATAAACACACGTACCCACACAACCATGTACATTTCATCAGCATATACTTCAGATTAAAATAATACATGCGGATTTTTCTAAATTTTGCCAACAATCAACCACATCCAAAGGAAATTATGATCATATGTTAGCCTGTGTAAATTAATTCAGGTTTTGGGAGGGTTTTTTTTCTGTTTTCCATCAAACTTCCATAGATTTTTTTAGATGAAAATCCCATACCTGTCATTCATTCTCGATTGTGGACCGAAAAACGCAACAGCTACATAAAACTAACCCTACTGGACGCTCTCCCTTAAATATTCTTTCCCTAGGCTAATAAGAGAGGTTTGCCGTTTTGCAGGTAGAGGGCAACGTTTTTCAGATATTATCTAAAAACATGTTCAGCCTACCAGAAACCTATTTTTGAGAAATAAGGGTATAGGCAGGTAGTGTTATCTTTAAAATTTGAACACAAAAATCCAAAGCTACGAAGTAAAGAATTCAACCCATTTCTCCACTATTAAAGGAAAATGTGATTTGTGTTTTTTAAATAATAGGTCAGACAGAAGCTCGTGCTCTGTTCTTTGGTTTGGATGCTATGCTGAGCAGCTGTGCGTGATTCTGGGCCTCATATGGCCGCAGTCAACAGTGACTGACAGAATGATGGTGACAAGGTGACGTATAATATTCTCTCTTATCAAAATGCTTGCCATACCATGATTGTGACTCAGTGGGTGTCCAGCTCTGTCTTTTCTTTCTGCTGGATTTTTGACATATAACAAGGTGTAATTAATTTTTTTTCCTATGCTTGCCTTTTTCATTACCAGAAATGCGGTGAGCATAACCTATTATTAATTCTGCTCTTATCCCATGCTACCTGAATAAATGTTCGTCTCCATCTGCATTGTATACTGTCAATTGGGAGAAACTGGGTAATAAAGGAAAAGGAGATTCAAACCTACTTGTGTGAAGTACGTACGTCACCCTGGAAAACTAGTATTTATTGAGGATCTACTACATGACACGTGTTTTATGTGCATTATCACTTTTAACCCTTGCATCAACCATCCAAGAAAGGTGTAATTATCCTCATCTGACACGTGAACAAAGCAAAACCCAAAGAGATTAAGTCCCTTGCTCAAGTAATGAAAAAGATAGAAATGAACATTTCCAATAAGCAAGCAGCAGGAGCAAGATTTGAAGCCAGAAAACATATCCAGATTATTTGTTTTACCCCCAAAGCTTTCAAGGATTCTAATGTAGCTGGTTACCACTACTACTCTTTGAAAATTCACTTTGGGAGGCCAGAATATACCCAACACTTAATATTTTTATTATATGCCAGTATCTACTTTAGTTACAAAATGCTGCCTAGGCTTCATTTTGTTGTATTAATTTTTATTGTCTTATGGTTTTCTATCTTTCCTACTTGGATGTATTTTGAGTTTAAAAAATCGAAAGATGGTGAATTTTCCTAAGAAGGAGGTTAAATACATTTTGTTTGTAAATAGTTCAGCAGTTGCAGGAGGCATCTGTTACTTTTTTTCTCACCTGCACTTCTGCCTTTGGATCTGTACTTCCTCCCCGCCTGTCATGGGCTGTCATCAGGACACTCCATCTCCCCATCTTGCCCTTTTCAGGGGATGGGGCCCCCCAGAGTCCTGAAGAGGGAGATGGATGTGTACGTTAGAGGAAAGAGGGTCCACTAGCTCTTCTTTAATTATCTATGTCTTTTTTAGTCATTGATCTGTATTTCCCAAACATTTCAGTAGTCATGAGCAACTGTCCACCCACCATAGCAATGTTTCAGCTTGTAATTCTATGCCACAGTCGAGTTCCTATACTAGAGAAATTGGCCATGAGACAAAGCTAAGTCTTTTTATAGTCTGTGCCTGTCGATAACACTTTGAGTATGACATTTGGCAATGATCATCGTTAAATGCTAGCCAGATAATTCAGATCAAAGAATCCACTTTATGGCCTGAACTGCTTGATTTGCTTGTCTATGCTAAAGAGTTTAACTTTTCTTTGAATGTTGTGTCTATAATTCCAAAGTTCTAAAATAGACCTAGAAGTTGACCACAGCCTTAGGAGTTAATGTTTCTCTATTTGTCAGAGATATTTGAGCCATATTTTGCAATAATCAGACAACCTTACAATTTATCAAGAGAGGGCTGAATTAACAAGCAGTGCAAATAGTGTAGGGTCTCAGAGCCTGGAATCCAGGACAGATTTACATGAGTTCAAAGCTTGTCTCTGTTTTAATGGCATTGGTGTGACCTTGAGCACGTTGCATCAACTCTTTGTACCTCAGTTTTGTCATGTCCAAAACTGGCATAATAATAGCCTCTACCTCACAGGATTGTATGATTATTAAATGAGTTTATCATTTTAAAGTGTTTGAAACAGTGCCTGGCACATAAGCAGTGCTCAGGAAATATTATTATTGGGTTTTTAATTTGCTAATAGAAGAGCTTCCTTTAGGGAGCTCCTTCCTACCCTATTAGAATGCATAGCAGTTAGTTCATTAATTGATTGGTTGGTTGGTTAGTTAGTGTAATCAATGCTAATAAAATGCAAAATCTTCATATTTCTTAGTAGCTATATTTGCAAGAATTATCCAAATAATTGACACATATCTAAATCTATTTGTCTGAATGTAATCCTTATTGTTCACATGCTAGATGCACTTTGAAAAAAGTTCTAATTTATTTTCTTATCTTACAAAAAGGTATTACATATCACCTATGTGCAAGGTACCATGTTGAGTATTTATTAAGTTCACATAGACATTGTGTCATGGAGAAAATGTGAACCCTGCCCTCTCGTATTAAGACTAAGGTGGGAAACTTATGATATATACACATATATACACACACAAAAACTAGAATGCTGTGTCTAAAGTGAGATATGATGCAAAGATAAGGGTTAGGGGCTGAATTGTGTCCCCCTAAAATTCATATGTTGAAGCCCCAATGCCCAGTACCTCAGACTGTGACCATATTTGATGATTGGTTCTTTAAAGAGGTAATTTAAGTTAAAATGAGGTTATTAGGGTGGGCCGTAATCTAACATGGTTGACGTCCTTTTAAGAGGAGGAGATTAGGGCACAGACACACACACAGAGAAGACCACATGAAGACACACAGGGAGAAGGCCACCATCTACAAGCTAAGGAGTGATGCCACTGAAGAAACCAACCCTGCCAGCAACTTGATCTCAGACATCTAAGCCTCTAGAATTATGAAAAAATAATAATAATAAAGTTCTATCATTTAAGCCATCCAGTCTTTGGTACTTTGTTGTGACAGTCCTAGTAAACTAACATAACAGGTAAAAGAAGAAAAGAGTGCTATGTGGGTTCAGAGAACTGGAAGTATCTTTCCAACTGGGAGCCTTGGAGAAAGCTTTACATAGGTGGCTTCTGTAATGGCCTCTGCAGTAGAACATGTAGAACATGGCCACTTGTAGCTGGAAGAACTTTTTCACAGTAGGAAGAATACATCAAGCCCATGGCTACAGAAAAGCACAGGATGATCTCTTTAACTTGGGGGAGTGGGAGAAAAGACGGAAAGTATAGGCGAAGGCCAAGATAACAAGCTTGGATTTTAGGCTGAATGCAAAGGAAAGCCATTGCACTATCTTGGTAGCACTGTCACGCAATCATTAGCTGTGCTTAGAAAAGATTAATCTGGAAGTCATATGATCATCATTGGAATTGGGAAGCATTTTGAGTTGGGGCAGGACGCTGGCAACCCAGCATGATAGAGTAAGGGGGTAAGGAAGAGGTTCAGGAAAGACAGATGCTGGAGAGGTAAAACCATTGGGACCTGGCAGATGGCTTTGCTGTGAGAGGCAGGGGAGACAAGAACTGAAGAGCTGAGAGACAACTGGAAGGCACTGATTTTGTGGTCTGGGAGGATGAGATGATGGAATTTATGACAGAAATAGGAAGAGAATAGAAAATCTGGTCTAGGAAGCATGATGACCAGTACAGTTTGGGAGCTACTGAGGACTGACCATTTTAAATGTGCTTGGAAATACAGAACTGTAGATACGTACACTGGGATACATATGTAAGTTTATGTATATATATATATCATATACATATATATCTGTGATATACACACAATCTTTGGACATATGTCATATATCGGCTTTTGGAAAAAATTGCTTATATATGCTAGAGACGCTCACAGTCTTCGAAGTCAGGGTGGAGATATACTTTGGATGACCATTGAACCATGAGAGGGGATGAAGTTATCAAGAGAAAAAATAGGAAAATAGGAGAGAAGTTTAGGCAAAGGACAGAGGGGGCATTTAGGAAACAAGAGTGAAAAGAGAAGTGGTGTATTCTTTGGAGAGTCAGGAGGAGAGCTTCCACTTGTCAGGAAGGCCTTCCTCAGCCACTGCAGTTGCTCCAAAACATGGAAAAACATCCCCTCCAAGTGAATCCATTCAAATGACTAAAATTTTCAATGGGACAGATTAAAGAATTCCCTGTTTTAGATAATAAATAGATCCATTTTTATTTATCTTATCAGAACAGGAACCAGGAACATCAATTTGTTCTTTGCTACAGTAAATCTAAATAAAAGTATCAAAAATCAAAAGAACTTAGAGACTACTAGTTTTTGGTTGCCTCAAAATGCCCTTTAAGGAAAACAAAGGTGTTTTTATCACATTGGAAGAAAAAAAAATATTCACATAGAGCCTAGAAGT